ACAGTACACGTGGACATAACGGAACGATCTCAGGCATGTGCACATTCGTGTGTATCGTATCCATCGTTGGTGTGTAGCATCGGTTGATATTGCGACGCATGTCGAAGCTGGTGATGATTTTATGCATTCACCCGTCTTGTGGTACGTTTTTCGAGATAACTTCGTACACCAGTTCGCTTTTCTTTGTTACAATCGGATGAAACAATGATCTCCCACAATACGACCCAGCAATTTATTTGGAGACGTCAGATTTGGTAACACTGCCTTCAGCACTCCTTCCGGTGACAACGTAACGGACTCAAACGGCGAGGGCGATGGTGGAGTGATCCTCTGCATGCCCAGCTTGAAGGCACATCTTTTGTGCTGTATGAAGGACTTTGCGTAAGAAGTAGAGACGTCTAGTGCACCTATAAATGTGAGGTTGCAACTACAATACCGTGGTAGCGTTGATGGGTACGATAGCTGGTTCGCACGAAGGACTAGAAAGGTTGAAGCCATAAGGATGGCGTATAGTAATCTTTTCTGTGAGTCTATCAGGACGAGATCATCACCGTGGGCCGCAAATCGCTTGATGCGGATTGAATAGCAAAGTCACCAACCATTTATCGATTGCAGTCGAACACTGAGATTTTACACGTACCCTGACATTTAGGAACATGATGGGCGAGTGCGTATGCGTGTGCGGCATTTTGGTCGGATTGACATAAGGCGCATCATCCGTGCAAGTGATCGTTCGTGAAGCGAAGTCTCTGTCGATGGAATATTGAATCAATCCACATACTTCACTGCCCGTGTACTTGGTGTAAGCAGGTCATGTTGTGGACATGGGAGTCGCTGAATCTTACGATGTGGATATGCTGAATCAGCGAGTCGTATACATGGAGACTAATAGGCTTTTCGATTCAAAACCACTCTGGTGATTGTCGGCGAACTGCCAGTCAACAACACAATAACGAAATTGCTATATCTGCCAAACCAATGCATTGGCAAGAACGTGCAAAGCCCTTTGTGCAACGGTGTGGGCATGTTCTGTGACATTAACGTCAGTACCGACGCAAACGCGAGATCATCGAGCAAACATTGTTCGTACAAAATGCATCTATGAACAAATGATCGCAGCAACTCTTTCCAATGCAGCCGTTGTCATCGCCGTATCCGGCTTCTTCGATCCTGCATGTAGCAAGTACTCAATGATTCTCTCGCACATGCACAGCGGGACAGCTACATCCAGCACGACACCTATCCGAGCATTGGGAGATTATGGCGCGACACAGGTACTAATTCGATCGTTTCGTCGAGCAGCCGTTCCCGTCGGCGGAGGTACGCAGTATGTCCGACTTGGCAATGGCACTAGTGTACATTCGACTCGCGGGTGTAGAATATGGTGCTGCTGCTGTCCATCTTGTTGCCCTTCACTCTCCTTGACTCTGTTCGGCCGTAAGCTCCTGAACTCAACCGAGCTCATGGGCAACGCATGCTTGTCGGAGTTCGTCTCGAAGGTAGTTCTCCATCTCCTCGTACAGTCGCCGCTGTCATTGCCGTTGTCATTGCCGATGTCTTAGTGTGCCAGAGTACTTACCAGTAGCAGCATTATTTTCTGCTTGACCTTCTTGTTGTATGGCGCCAATGTGATACTAGTGTCGCCATCCAATACCGGCACGAATTGAAACTGCGTCGCGCTTCGTCGTGGCTGCTCATCTTGTATCATCTCCATCGTTGCTGGTCAACCCAGGCTAACACGTGCTAGTGCTGCGAGTGACGTCAAGGTTACCATGTAGATGGCGCTCATCGATACGTCAGCTTCAAGTACGCATTGTCGAGCGCATAACTACTTGGAATGTACGTTACTGATGTGGATCTGTCGTAGCTCGTCTTCGCGCTGACGCAACCTCAATTTTCATGATATAATCGATGAACTCAGCTTGCTTACCGAGACCGAGCGTTCGCTGTTGGGCCGGAGGGCTCAGAGTTTCAGTGTGTCGTCTTGGCAATGACTTTAAACACATAAAAATTTGACCACACGTTCTCCACCAAGTCGGGCAGCTTGATGCCGCAGCTAAGCCCTTTCTCTTACTATCCCTCTTCCAACGCTCCACCTTTGCCGAGAACTCATTAAGACGGTCACTTAGATTGTCACGCTTGCCTCTTGACCCACCACTGTCTGCGCATCACAATGCTGGTCGCTGGGAACGAACTTCTCCACCCCTCTCAGCTGTTCTAACCCATTGTTTCGATGGATCGTGTTGTCGCGTAGGCAGGCGATGTCCGCCCATCAATCAGATAGTCATGCACGCCCCGACCATCGATTTGAGCATATATATCTCCTTTAGACAGCTAGACGACCTCTTGGTTCGCGTGACGCTCTCTGTACCTCGATACACATCGCCTTATCTTTGTAGCAAGCTGCGCCTCCAAATCTTCAATACGAGCACAAAGCTGCTGATTTTTGCCTTGTTTGTCCAGCACGCACAAGTTGTTTCGCTTTCTGCAACAACCGTCGTTTCAAGCAATCAATCATTTTGTCGCTTTTTGCTTCACGAAGTATACAGCTCGTTCCTTGTGTGGATGATCCGTTTGTCGAGGACCACTCGACCGAACCCGTACCTCGTCAAAGACCTCATACGTCATATAGGCGACGCTCCATTTGCATGAATCAATCGAGACACTTGACGTCCTTGTTCTAGCGCTGCTGGATGTTGTTGCCTCGACTTACGCAGCTCTTGACGAGACGCTCTGGCACAATAGATAAAATCTCGTGATCATACATAACTACCTCCTCTTTCTTCTTCTTCACCTCCTCCTTAACAACACCAGCAGCAAAACTGTCTCTCTCTCTCTCTTTTTAGATGCAACCGGCTCTGCTTCAAGCGGCACGACCCCAAATCGACAAAATTGACAGACAGCTATGATGACGACGATGATTGATTCGAGCATGCAAGACTACTGCCTTGTGGTTGTTCTCACAGTCTTAAACTGTCTGTCATCTTCTCGGCCTCTTCTGATTAGTTTTTTCTTGTCCCCGCAATACCGCCGCTGCATGTTCCTCTCGTTTCCCTCTCTATATATATATCCTGATCATGTCTACCCGCTCGTCCCCGCGACTCAGTGCGTGCTGCAACTCAAGCAATCTCGAACCTGTCAAACAGCCTTTTCGCGCTCGAATAGCGCCTGAAGCCAAGAAATTACGCTCCATCGTCTCCGTCGCTGTACTACGTATCTCTGCGACAGGCACATGGCCGGACACGCTCGTGGTCCGGTGCCGCGTGTCGTCTTCAGTTGCTCGTCTGGACATGCGAGAGGGACGTGGCAGTTCTCGCTGCTGCTCGTACTCAGCATTTTGGAGCCACTCATTTCCTGGGCGGCCTCATGAGGTGAATGGTACAGTGCGGACAGGAGTGATACAGCCACCCAAGTTTTTTACAATGATAAAGCAAGACATTCGAGATCAAGAAAAACAAATATACCACCATGTAACCCTTTAAACGGTGAATATGACTGTTCTTTTCTTTTCAAATTCCGACTGTTCGATCAAAAGCTATGATGCTGAATGTAAAAAGTGTACGACCGTAATGATATAGCCACCAAAAGAAAAACGGACTATCCTCTCGACCTTAGCGTTGCCACTGTAACATCGTTTAGTATTGCGTGATGGAGCTCGACGGGTACGTCGAAAGAGCAGGCGGGGTGCGTAAGCAATAGGGTGCGTATGGTTGGTCGGATGTACATGTGTGCAGACGTTTTTTTTTTTCAAAAAAGAGCCTTTTTGTGAGAACAACGCTCCTGTCTAAGTCGACGATAGCGGGTGATTCGGAAAGGCAGACCACTTGTATCACCCAAGTCGCACGTTGTTGCGCGCATCTGGCCACAAAACTATCGAAGATACTACGGTACGCAGGACTGCATCAATGTGTAAGGATCACGTTGTTGCTTGTAATGATCACGTTGTTATTTGTACTGATCACGTTAATTGCTTCGCCGAGCTAGACAACAAACTTGCGCAGGCGCACACAGCAAAAGTATCTATGTATCTGAGGAGAAGTCGTTGTTGATGAAAGTGGGGCACATTGAGGAACGTGTGCGGCCAGCAATACCCCATAATCAGAGACGATAAGAGTGAAAGGCGTTTTGGAAGAACAGGCGCCGGCAGCGTAGAGGGAACTAGGGGTGCTATCAAGGCTACTTCTTGAAAACGGATGACGGTGGCATTGCGTTCAGAGACATGCACCCTGGCACACAGCGTGGTTTATCTTGCGTTTAATGCACCCAATGGTAGTAAGTAAAGAAAAATCAAACGTGGCCAAATCGGATATTCACAAACGTTAGAGCAATGATATGCTGAAGTTGCCTTCACGAAACAAAAGCATAGTGTATTCAATCACGTTTGCCCCGACAGCTACTACTGCATGTTGTAGCCCGGACAGCTCTTCGCCTGCCCAGGATTTCAACAGTGTCGGGCCGCGGAAAACGAATCGCCGTTCTCGACGGTGGTAAATAACCAAAACATGCATGACGAGCTAGCTTCACACGATCTTTATAAGCGATTCCAGCGTCGTCGTCTCGACTTGAGCCGCACAACGCCCAACACCTGCAATGGATCGGTAGATCCCGACGATTCCGAAACTACACATATTTGCTCCATGTCTGCGCGATTCTATACGGCAGGCCCGCCTCCATACCCACTGGTAAATTTTTTGACCCCTTCCACTGGTCTCCTACCCCTCAACACGTCAATCACTTGATCGTCGTCGAATCCGTTGACGTGCAATCGGTATTCGCCAATGGATACAAGCAGACATGTGAGCATGCGACGAACAATGAATCGCTCGATATTGTCGTCAATAGCTCCTACACCGCTTGTACTCGGTGGCCTGATCATGATGTCGCCGACTTCGACGGGACTCAACTTAAAGCGCAGCCACTCATCGACCATCAACTCCAAAAGTGTGCAACAAATCCGGCGATCCTAAAAGCAGACATCTTTGCATGTTGTTTGCGTGATCTTACATGTCAGGGATGTCTAGGAACTTGTGGAAGATGTGCACCAACTCATCCCCATCTTGTCCGTGCACTTTCAACAATCCAATGACTTGATCATCGTCGAATCCGTTGACGCCCAATCTGTATTGGCCAACGTATCGAAATAAAAATGGAAGCATACGAAGAAAGGTGTGCTGCTCCTGCTTCTCAACACCAGTTGCCACGTCGGTTGTCCCCGCTGGACTAAACATGATGTCGTAGACTTCTCCAGGACTCAGCTTTGAGCGCACCCACCCGTCGGCCATCAATTTAAAAGTGTGCAAAAAATCTTGCGAATCTAAAAGCAGGGATCTTTGCATGTTGTTTGAGTGGTCTTTCATGTCAGGGTCGTCTCGAAGATTGTGGAAGATTTGCACCAACTCATCTTCACCGTATTTGTGCCATTTCAGCAATTTAATGACTTGATCGTCGTCGAACCGTTTGACACGCAACCGATACTCGCCAACATATCGATAAAAATATGGAAACATGCGAGGAAAAGATACCTGCATCTGCTTCTCTACACTAGCCCCCACACCGATTGCGCCCGCTTCACCGATCAAGAAGTTATAAGTTGTGCGAGGGCTCAGCTTATTCTTAAGCCACACGTCGAACGTCGGTTTCAGAGTGTCTGACAACGTTGGCGAATTCCATATCAGATATCTTTGGATAAAGAATGCGCGTTGCTTCATGTCATCACTTTCCCTGAGCCACAAAATAAACCACACCAACTCTTCCATGTCTCCGTTGCGCCTCAATATTTCAGCGGCTTGACGGTCGTCAAATTTGTTGCCCTTCAATCGGTACACGTCACCATATACAAGCCAATATTTGAGCATGAAACGGACAGCGGACAACTTTGGCTTCTCTTCAGCAGCTCCTGCATCGCGTGCTCCCGCTGGCGTGAACATTATGTGGTAAACTTCTTCAGGACTCAAACCGGATGTTAGCCACACATCGCGCGCCACTCTGTGAGTGTTTGCTGGATACTGCGTCCTCAAAAGCAACTGTCTCTGCATGTTGTCTGCTCGACCCTTCCTGCCAGGGACATCCCGAAGCTTATGGAAGATATCCACCAACTCTTCATCACCTCTGTTAAGCATCAATACTCGAACAACTTGATCGTCACCAAATTTGACATCCAAGGACCGGCACATGTCAACAATATAGAACCAATTCTCGAGCTCAGCCACGAAGATGGACCAAGTTGGCTTTTTTCGATCAGCCCCAGAAAATTGTCGATTCAGTAAGACGGGCATCTTCCAGTAAATATTTTCGGGACTCATGCCCGACTTGAGCCAGTTGTCGATCTTCGATAGTAATTCAAGACTTGTTCGCATCCGGTATGCGCCGTCTTTTCTGCCAAGGGTGTTTTCGAGCCAGTTGGCAAAAGCTTCGATCTCTCTCGTTCGTCCTTTTTTCGCCAAAACTTCGATCGTTTGAACATCGCTAAAGGCGTGACCCGAAGATCGTAGTCTATCGACATAAGTGAACCAATCCGTGATTCTACCACGCACAACAGGCCACTCTGGCTCATTCGCAATTGCGGCCGACGACAAGCTTTTCTCTGAAATGGGCATCACGTCGTAAGCTTCTGTAGGACTCAACTCAGACAATACCCACGCGTCGAACACCTGTTCCAGAGCCTCGGGGTGATCTTTCAGTAGGGTCCTTTGCATCGCTTCCGCACCGCTTTTCATACCAGCGATGTTTCGAAGCTCAAGGAAAAATGTCGCTACCCCACTTCCTTGCCCAGATTTCATCAAGACGTGAAGGGCGGCTTCCGGAAATGTTTCCAAGTGACCGACCATTTGCAACTTGTAAAGCCATCGCTCTAGCTCCTCACGAGCAAAGAGCGCTTCCATATTCTCGTTGATCGTGAAAGACGCGAGAGCTTTGGTCATGGGTTGTAGTCGTCCTGGCAGCTCGCTGAGTCCCAGAACCTCCCTTGCGTTCTCCAGAGAGGACCATACATTCACCAGCCCTCTCTCCTCTTGTTCCTGATGTGCGTCGTCGGCCTTGTCCGCAGTTAAGTTTTGCGGCTGCACGCGTTTCGGCTCGACGGACGCTGTCTTCTCTTGGGTAGGAGAATCAATCGACGAGTTCCGAGCACCGACGTACTTCTGTCTACCGCTTGTAGCTGTCGCCTCAGCACATATCCATAGCAGGAGGACGAAGAGCATCTCAAAGTGACGGGGCAGACGCATCGCGACTTCTGGTGAACCACGAGGCAAACTGCAAAACGAATGGTGGGGAGCTGCGATTTCTTTGGACCGACCACGAAGTGTGGACCACACAGTGTATCGTTTGGCACCGTGAGAACTGCTTCTCGTACCCACCAATGCTTGTCGAAAATCGGATGTTTTTTGGTCCTATGGACGCAAGACTGGTTTAGTAGCGGGAAGTGACATCTGCCTTTTCGTAGGGACAACGTAATGCATCGAGCGCACACAAGAAGTACGAATCAAGACAATAAATAAGCACGAAACTATCAAAACGTAAAGACGATGCACAATTTTGCACAATTGCTAAAGGCTGACCGAGCAAATACATGCTATCAATCAGTTAGGACATCATATGTTCTTTTCACTTTTTGCACTGATGTCGAAACAAGTTATAAGACATTGGGCATTAGTTACGGTTTGGTGGACTATCGTCAGTCTTTTGTAATCTTTGATCACATTATTTTACGCCAAACTAGTTGGTAACACGCCAGTACCTTTACCACATGATACATGAGCTTTACGACGCGATCACAATCGTTTCCTCGTAAGCTCTCTAGGAGCTACAAAATATACAAGTTGTAGCCTGATAAAGTTTGGAGCGCAACGTGTTCGATGTGGAGTGGACAGAAGTACCTAAGATTGTGTGCATGACGCCCTCTCAGCCTACAACAATTCTGCGTCTATCTTCTCAGCACCCGGACTGATGTCTCAAAACATTCGTCAACATAATTATAAGTAACTTCTTTTGTAAAGGACAGAACACCCCATTAGCATTGCACGGTCTTTTAGCGTGCTTTCCACTTTATGTGTCCGCACGAATCTGCTTGGATAACTGCCATAGCACAGCAACGTTTTTCCTAGCCCTGATACACGCTTTTGTTGCATACTTTTTTCATATTTACCTTGATATTCAACACGACAATGTTTCCGCGCCATTTTGCCTCTGCGCTTTTTAGCACATTCAACATAAACGACACCGCGAAGGCAACAGATACAAATTGAAAAAAGTTCCGAACCAGTGTGATCGGACGAAATGAGTCGTAACCAGGGTGGGCTTATTATCGAACAAGAAATGATAGTTTTCGACTATCCTTGACCATCAGCGCCCATTGTCGAATTTAATGAATGACCGTTGATATAAAAAAAGGCATTTGAATGAACAGAATATATAAGATGATGTATGCAATAGATGTATATGCAACCGGCGAGCATTCATGCAGTATCACACAGACGGTGCGAATCGCGTCGTCTGTTACCAGTAACGTCAGATACACCGAGATGAGCGTAATTACCCAGTGAATGTCAAAGTACTAATTGCCGTAAATAAGCACAGGATAAGTTTCGCGTCAATATCCTCGGATATGGACGATTTATAGTCAGTTAGGACCGATAATGCGCCATTCGCATAGCCGTAAATTATCCACACCTTCGATTCAAAACGGCGAGGTTGTTGTTGTTCTACGCTTATTATTAATTATCACTGGAGTAAATGTTAGGACAGTTGTGGCGTCTCTTACGATGTTTTCGCTGATATGATCTCAGGCCGGGTGCCCAGTCTAATATTGAGGGTAAGCGCACTGTTGTGGCGCTACTAAGCAGTATTCTATGGTCGAGTAGGACTGAGGACATGATCCAGGCGTACGTAAAAATCAAGGGCTTTTGCGTCGGACCGATTACTTTTCGAATTCATACGAATAAGCTTTATTCGTTTAAATGGGTGTATAGGTTGTCACCTGACCGAAGCACAACCCGCGATAGTCTGCTGTAGTATGCTGCTGTCGCCGGCAACACACCACTTTAGCCGTTTCACTAATAATGTTTACTCAAGCGGATGATGCATAAGAGTCACGGTGCGTCACTACGTGGACATCGTGGCCGTGAGAAGTTCTACCCTCACGTTAAGCCGAGACGTTTGACTGACCACGCCAGTATTACTTCGTGTGCGAGTACATCCGTGCTAGCGAGATATGTCAATGGATGAAGACTATCCCTTCACTCCATGCACTGGTGAAGCTTACATTAGTACTGGAAGAGAAATCGATTTTCATCATAAGTGACTTCGTCCTCGGGTAATTCGACAATGCTCGAAGAAGCAGGTATCGTTGGGCTTGTCAATCGATTCAGCAAGATTATTCGTCTTGCTACTGCATTGGAGCGGATTAAAGCTAAGTAATGTGCTCGATTCTTTATTGATGCATTCTTTAGCTTTCATCGACTATCCGAGAACCCATGTCTGGTCAGGATCCTCTGTTCATACGAAACGCTTTGGCAATCGGTGTACCTTTCCGCTAAAACGTCGGTCGAAGATGTCGACTTCGGACCATCCGCAAACATATGGTCATACAGACTGTGGAAAAACATGTGCTCGACGAGAAAATCCAAGACTACGCCTACTTATTAACAAATTTGATGATCTTGACGATGGAAAAATTTACCACCTATAACTCGATTGCCATGCGTCAAATAAAACAGTGTTCTTAGAGTGGTTTGCTTCATCCTAGCATTACTAACTTGTAAAGGTGCATTATAAATGATTGTGGGATATTGTTCAGGCCATAAATAATCTGGATCTCGCTCATTACCCGCCGACGCTAGTGTAGACGCCAAAAGGAAAAAGTAGATGTGATTGACATCTAGAATACACACCCACTGATAGAAAAGAACTTATTCCAAACTCAGATAAAGATGACCTGACTGGTGAAATCAGCATCTCCAATGACCATACCAGCCAGGACGATGACGCCCTCGCAAACGAAAAAACTGATTTATATAATGTATTCATGAGTCCAACCACAAAAAAGCCGAGTGAGCGATACGATTCCTATTGGTATGCAAAACAGTGATTTGTTATACATAATGTTTTAGCATCGGAAGCAGTTGACTGACAAAAACGAAACGCTGACAAATTTGGAAGATTCTAAGCTTTTTTTATTATAAGAAAGAGACATAGTCCTACTATTCACGGTAAATCTATCGATAATAGTAGTTGTTACCATAGCCAAAAAATATTTTATGCCCAAATTCCTTGACTTATCTCGCGTGTCGCGTCGACTAGCCAATACATTCACGATAAGTTGCCTTTGAGGATGCTCACGCATCCTACAATGGCCGTCTGACTTCGCCGCCTGTACTGCCACAAAAATATCTTTATACACTATGGCAATATTCGCCACACCCACAAATCTCCATCGGATTCTTGTGTTCAAGGTCTTGACTTCCTGCCAGGATGTGTAGGAAAGTGAACTTTTAACATACATGGGATGTAACTTATCATGCCGCTGTCGTTTATTTTTTATAAAGACCCTCCGTTTCTATTTCAATTGTGCAACTACATATCAGCGTGATGCTTTGCACGAAATTTGAATGCCTATGTACGATATTGGACAAAGTTAGATGGCTGTTCATTCTACGTCCGTTATAGCCACGTAGCATATACGTTACTTGATTCGATTTATCATATTTATGAATGTACGAGTGCAGAGCCACGCCAGGCGTTCCCACCATCACCACATCCACATGTGAACTCGTGCGGTGATCAACACTTTTTAGTGGATCGTATAGAAAAACCACCGCGACGTGAATGTACAAGCCGCACGAATTACCTCGTCTGGTGTGGCGGGGATCAGCCGTTCATGGAACAGCTGAGATCTTGCATCAAATAATAGAAGTAGATATTTGTCTAGCCGAGCAGTGCGACGAGGTTCGCTCAATGTACTAGAGTGCCAGCCGCAAACGAGCGCTCTATATGCTCGTGAAGGGCTTGCAAGGCCACATAATATTGTTAAATATCAGAGACGACGCACTTAAATAATTAGGGCTTATGAAAATAAATTCTTCTTGAGGGGCACAATTAGTCAACACAACTATGACAGTGCTTGCCCCGTGAGAGACCGGAAAGGTTTTGCCGCTTTAGTTACCCGTTTTAAATAAAATACGGACCGGTTGGAGTATGTTTTTATCCTACTGCGAGCTGCAGTAGTTTGTCAACCCTGGACTCACGAACTATACAATTACCTTGGTAGATGGATGCATTCCACGCTTAATCCACTGTGTTGCTATATCGGTTGCAGTTCTCGTTGTATCATTGACGTCAGAAGTAGATGTCGGTGAAGTAGTTATGATTTTAGCATTATAATTAATCGTGTTGTCGTTAAGAATATGGATACTCGATAATGAGAATACGAGATTCGATCCCGGTTAGCGGTCATGTCAGACCATTGGTTCGACTCCGGCTACGATGAAAAAATGCCTGTTCTTAATTGGAAGACGGAGTAATCGAGGTCTTTTATCAGTTGTGGGGTGTCAACACAAGCGACGATATCACGGTCATTGCGATCACTTCGATCGCTTTAACACTAGTAAATTTGACTTGATTTACCGCTGAAATCGCGAGAGCCAGTGCTGCCGTGCCGGCCATTTGCGCCGCGCTTTTGGTACCCAGTCGCCTTATAGGCAGCCGCATTCTTAGCAGCTTTGACTGCTATTATATGTAGGATAAACCATGCAATCGAAATTGTGTCGGGCAAGCCAGCCAAAAAACGCCGTTTCTTCCTCAGTGGACCGATATATAGTTGCTCCGTCTCCTCTCTACTTAATTATCTGACGTATAAGAGGGCTGTACGTGGCGAGCCCATTCCATGCCATTGATACCAAAATTGGCCAATGAGAATATCATCTTAAGGGAGAGCCACTAACTACCACTCACTTTTCGCTATCCACCACTCACACTATGCATTAAAATGTTGTGATTGGCTCGTTAAATTATTAGAAAAGAGGGAAAATCAACAAAATGCCCCATTAAATCACGAAAATAAAAAAATGCGTAAGATAATTGGAAAATAAAAAAATCTCCACGTCCTAGTTTGACGAATACGCTTAAGGCACCATCACACGTTTTCTCTCTGAAATAGACCTGCATACGACGGAGTCTGCAGACATTAAAGCCATCAATAAGAGCTAAACAGAAAGATAGATTTATTGGG